TCTTTCCATTTAATTCAGAAGTGCTACCTTTAGAGAGCTGTACAAAGGAAAATCTTTCTCAGTAAAATGGCAGACATCCCATTTGTGATACCTATAAAAGAAAGAGAGGGACAAGTACACTATACGTTATCTTCGTCAGTAATTCAAAAGCTAGTCAAGTTGAACATTTCTTTAAATTTTGTTTCAAATTTTAGGTGAGGTTAAGGGGTTGCTTGCTAGCTGAAGTCTCTAGTATGAGTCATTTTCTGTTATCTTACTGTCTTTTGGCTGTTAAATATTTTTCTCTTTCAGTCAAACTGCCTCCCAGTACTTACTTTCTAATAGAGTAAGGATAAACTGATTGATATGTTAGAATAAATCACTTTGTACATAAATCCTGTCATTTTTAGTGAGAAATTTATAGCTGGTAAAATTACTACATTTTGAAGAGATCTGGTTTGTGTTTTTTGTAATAACCTTATTATCGCGTCTCAGCAGTTTGCATAGACTGACTATGGATGCAGAGTCATTACGGGGCTTTTATTCTTTTATTCCTCCATTTCGGATGGGGGAAACTATCTATATATTTGTGTTTGTCCCTCTATGTGTAGTGTATGTGATTTTTTTTTTTGCATATTTTTAATTTTTAGATGATCATATTAGAGAATTAGCTTATGTTAGAGACTATTTTTCTTTCTCCCAAAGCACCTTTAGGAAACTAAGTACTTAGCTAACATCTCTAAATGATTTCTAATGTAATTATCTTCAATCTACCTTTAATTGCCTGCAAGAACGGAACAGCTGAACTAGATGGAAATTCCGGGACCTTTATTAGCTTTAAAAATCAAGGACAGTGCGGGGCATGTGTGAATTAAAACTTGGGAACTTGATTTTGAGCGCTCCTTTTGTAAGATTCTAAATTTCATCAGTACTTTTTTAACTAATTTGAATGTTCTTTGCTAAAGCAACAGTGCAAGCTTTGCTGCCTTTTCAAAGGGGCAGAGAGCAAGCTGCATCCTGTATAACTTGGAATGCTTTTGCTCACATATTAAAGTATTGACTAGTACTTCATAAAGGTTATGCTCCTGCACCATCAAAGCCTCCACTGGTTTAGCTGAAAGAATTAGAAGTCAGAATTAGGAAAATATTTGGGGCCAAGAGAATTATAGGTTTAATTAACACTCAGAAATAAAGCTTAAATATTTAAAATATAAAATGTAACATTTTAAAATATTAAATGATATTTATATTTTATATTGTATAATTTAAAATATGACATTATATGTCATATGCAGACTCGTCAGAACTTGTCAGTTCTTCGTGGAAATTTGGGGGTTGTTTTGTCGCATTTGTCCTCAGGGGTCTTATCTGACACACACAACTTTTGAACTGTAGAGCGTTGCTTGAGAAAACTGTGTTAAAGTTAATAGCGAATAACAATGGCTTTAATGAACTGTCGTATCAAATGATAATTTGTCCATGATATAAAATTGTTTGATTCAAGAACAGCATATTTTTAAGTTATTTGTCAATACCATGATTTTGTTGTTGTTTTTAGAATATTCCTGATGTAGATGATGAAGGATACAGCATTAAACCAGAAGCAACACAGAATATCCTTTCCATTTTTATTTTGTTTAGTTATTTGATGTTTTTACAATTCTTTGAAGAGGTGAAGTACTCATTGAAGTGTTGAGGAAGATGATGTCCATGCTTATGTTGCCACTTTCTGTCTGTATGTTTGTAGCTTCCAGAAAAAGTACAAAGTTTTGTCTAGCCTATATGTTGTGAGTTTTTGTGTGTAAATCTGGAGGAATATTTTGAGAAGAATATTAGACTAAACATCTCAGGAACTTTAACAGGAATTTGTAACCTGAGATTTAAAAAAAAAAAAAAGAAAGAAAGAAAAAAAGCCTGAACAAAAAATTTAAGGTGACCATGCAGATCATCCTCCTTGAAAAGCTTTCACAGAGTTTGCAAAATAGAATTCTCTTTTAAGCATGCTGAAGGCTTATCTGTTGTATGCCTGCACCCTCCAGAAGCAGGATTTCTGTTATTTAATGAAGTCATGGCACCACGTGCTGTTTCTAATTGATGCTTTGATTGTATTTTTTAATAATAGATTTGATATGTAGAATAAGCTTTTGCTATGAGTCTTTTTTGATGGAGGCTCGTGGTTTTTACTGTCCTTCCTTTGAAGGAAAAGATTCTTGTCCTCTTCTTTTCTCCCATCAGAAACAGAGGGGAGCTCTACTCAAGAGTTAGGAATAGTTACTACAGATCTAAGCAAGCCTACAATGTTAGAAAGATAACTACTTGTTGGAAATGTACTCCCTTATTTTTGGGGGACTACAGGTAAAATAAAAGGTAAACCTATACTTTGCAATAATCTTAAATTGCTAATTTTTTTAACCAGTCAAAAGTGGAAGTCAGTCCATCATCACAGCTTCTCTGTTTTCATCAGCTTTAAAGTGTGTGCTTCTATTCCTCCCAGCAAAGATTCCTGTGCTGATTTAAACAAAAAAAGAAAAATCATGTTATCTCTTATTTACAAAATCAATATAAAAGACTCTTATCCAGCTTCATGAGGTGCATTATTTCATGTTTTGTATGTGTTTATGAAATGGAGGCAGGAGTGAATACGTTCCTGCACTGTGAATGATTCATGCAGGCATCCTTATTTCCATCATCCTTTTTGTCAGGAAGCAATAGAAAAGCTGAAGAAAGAAATACATCTAGTGAAGAAGCTCAGTGATTTGCAATCCCTGTTGGCTTCTGAAAATCTTGACCGGATTCAGAAGTCATCAGTTCCCTTCCTCTCCCCGCCCCTCTGCCACCACATACCTGTAGCCTCCAAGACAAGATTTTTATTCTGCTGATGGGAACTCTTAAGATGATTTGTTGGAGAACACGATTTTATAAGTGCTATAATTGCAGTCAGTCTTATGAAGGCCAGTCGTCAGTGTTTGAAGAACACTGATCCTAAAAATTACTAATTGACCTTTCAGTACATGATCTAAATTAATCTTTGCCAGTAACAATTTAATAGACCTCGTATGGCAATGATCAGCTCATGCTACTTTAGAAGGGATGCATATAACAGCATGATTTGTAAGAAATTTATCTTGAAACTCAGTGACAACTTCCAAGGTAAGAGATCTTTTAGTGAAATTAAAATCACTTATCTTTAAAACTGTCTTTTTCACATGTGAGCTGTTTGCAAGTAGCCTGTAACAGGAAGGTGTTTGAAGTTTTATTCCCCATATCTCATGGAGTCTTTCAGTTGAATTGGATTTTAAATATCTTATGGTTCAGGGTTAAATTTTGTCAGGGGATATATTGAAGAGGTTTCATTCAGATGGCTATCATAATTCCGAGTGAAAATAACAGAAGTGAGGTACAGAAGATATCTGCTTCACCTGGATAACAGGAAACTTCTATGCTTTTGGATAGAGGAAAATTTTCAACTTGTTTTTTGTTAAAACAAATGTATCTTCAAAGACCGTTGGCATAGGGCCTTTCAGAGCTTTGTTCAGTGCAATTCCTGTGCATATAAAGAACGAAGGCTAATTTCATCTGTAGATTTTGCTTATTTTGAGCGCTGAGTTGTTCTCGTTGTCATTCCTTTTTTAGTCAAGGATGACAGTGCTTTCTAAGCTGCTGATAGTGTTTACTCTGCTGCCTTCTGTGTAGTTAGCATCTTTTGTTGTGAAACTTTCAGTGCCGTGCTGGGCCAATAATGGTGGCTGTTGCTGCTGCTTCCTCTACTGTATGCTTGTTAACTGCAATGGGTATTGCACTGTTACTTAAAAGGGTCAGTACTTCCCCTCACTTGATTTGAAACGCTTCTACGATGCGTGCCTTTTCCGTAAGTGCATTAGAATCCTTAGCTGAATGTCACAAATCAGAAATTTAAAATATAGAATTATTGTTACTGTATATTCTTTCATTTGTCCTGTTGCCTTCAAATATGCAGTCCTTTGGTTGTATAGCATAGTGCCTTCCATAACAGAATGCCATTATGAAGATGAGTGGAACATAAAGGCCAGAGTTTAACTTTGAGATATAAATATTGACCAGTGGATGTATATGAAATGTCTATATCAATACACAAGGAGCTTGGTCAGCAGTATTTATCTGTGATGGTTACTTCATATGTGGATTTTGTAGAGAGCATGTAAGAAATGGATTAAGGAGATGAATTTGAAATACTTCCACCTTAACTGAGAAAAACATACCAAAGAGAACCATTTCTATTCATCCAGTGATTCTGACTCTGAAGATGATGAACCCAGGAGGTTCCATGTAGAAATAAAACCTGTACAGCCAAATCATAGCTCTCAGTGCACAATGGCTTCCTTGGATGAATTAAAAGTATCTATAGGGAACATCGCTCTTTCTCCAGCAGTATCTGTAAGTAATTTTGTTTCTTGTATTTTTAATTAGTAAAGAAGAAATGTGGTAAGGAATCTTTAGTGTAAGCATACGTTTTACCGTTCAGAATTTATTCTAGGCTCAAGTTTGATGATTATTTTTCTTGTGCAGTAGGCTGTCCTCAATATACTTGTGCAATGTAAGGTTAAATAATTCTCCCTTCTCAGATTTTAGCTTTCCTTTTGAGACTTTGGAGCGCTCAGTCCTTGTATTTTTGCTGTTGCCACTGCAGTAGATTTGAACACATGTGGAGTTAGCTGAGCATGGCTTTTAACATAGTTTACTAATTAGTATTAAGTAATATGCAAACCTGTAAAAGAGATCATATGCAGATACATATATTTTTACAGCCCATTTTTATTGTATGTACTTCTGCCAAAACATAGAATGATCTTTTATATCAAGCAGTAATATTACAAATAAATAGTTTTAAATTATGTTGGTTCAGATCAGGATATCAATATTCAGATCAGAATAAGGATGGCTGTGTTTTTAAGGAAAATATACATAAGATATTAAGCATTAATGATGATTTTTTTTCCATTTTTCCCCATACTTTGAAAGCAGAGACACAGTCCTGTAAGTACAGAATGATTTTTCATTGTTATTTGTAAATTAAAATTGAGTAAGTGCAGTTTGTGAGGGAGTTACTGGGAAAAACTTAGGAATATTTCTATTCCTATCTGTCAGACATGCTATGTGGTATGAAAGCTGTTTAGTTTTAGTGACCTATCCCGTAAAGGGATTTAGCAATACTTACTGAAGCCTTGGCTCTACAATTTTACGTTAATCTTTCTGAAGAAGGTGCAAATTCCAGCAAGACGGCACCGTAGAGAGCTGCAGAGTTGCATTATGTTTTGAAACACATGTGCATGGAATTGTGTCAAATTCTAAGTGCAGAAGGGCATTTCTGTCTCTCTTTTCTGTATCTAAGTTGCTTTGTATCCGTAGCGGTATCTCAGATATACAAGTATAGTTAGTCAGCTCCCACTTATCTGCAGAACTTAAGATGCATATAAAAATTAGTGCAGGATACTTGTAAATTTGGCCAATCGGTTTGGGTTCAACAGGAAAAAAAAAAGTCCAAAATGCCTCCGACAGTGGAGCGTAGCCGCACGTGCTGCTAGGCCTGCGGAGCTCAATGTTGTATGAAAGCACAGACGCCCAAGGGTAATGGCTGAAAAGTGACCTGAACAAACCTGCAGTTACCATTTTGTAACAGATATGTTATACTTAAAAACGGATTAATTTTCTAGAAGTTACTTCTCAGCCAGTTTTCAACTCTTCATTTTTTTCAGCTGTTACCTGCTAACTCACTTCCAATATTATATGCTGGTTTTGTATTTGCTTCCCTCAAATTTTCGTTGTCTAGTGCGCAGTCTTCGTTGCTGCCTTTTCCCGCCTGTGTGGCGGGGGGGGCTGCTTGCTCTGCCCCGGCTGACGTTCTGGTCGTGCTTCTGCCAGCTCCAGAGCGTCTCCCTGGCAAGAAAAGCAAAATAGCTGATGGGAAATTAAAGTGGAAACATGAACCCTGGAACTGCTAAGTGTTTTAATTGACAGCTTGTAAAAATTTATTTCTACTTTTTTTTTGGTCTGTTTCAGGCACAAATGAATCGAAATTCATCCAGTAAGTGTGAATCTTTAACTGTTAGTCTATTTTAACTCAGCCTAAAAATATATATATTTTTTTACTGTTAAAGAATAATATTATTAAGCGTTAGTATTTTAAATAGAAAAAAGATTTCTCTTGTGTCAGTTCTAGATACCTTATTGATACCTGCCTTTGAACTACCCACAGTAAATTCAAAGGAAAAAATTAAGTTATTTGGTCAAAATTTCAAATTAGCTGTTAGAAGCCACCCACAGATCTCTTCATTTTCTGTACACTCAGCTGTTCCCTGTTCTGCCGCCGTGGTGAGGAACAAGTTCCAGGCCCCAAGGGGAGACCTCGTCGAAATGAGTCTTGTGTTAGCCCTCTCAAGCTTAGTATGATCCACAAACGGCAAAGCTCCCGCTGCCCCCCTCCCTGTCAAACCCTGCTGGTAACATTGCCATGGAGATAGAGCATTAGTGTGTCCCGTCCCCCCCCGACCCCCGGGGAAGAGTAGATTGGATGTAAGCTATATAACTTCAGAAAGAACCTTTAGGTGATCAATGTTTCGTGCCAAAATGTGTTGTTCTGTGTAGCCCTCACCTTTTAGAAGGCATTTCAGGAGCACCTGAATTTGTATCATCACAAATAACACATTTTCTCCTTTCCATTTTAGTAATTCATGATTAATTTTAATCGGCAACTGTTAACTTTTAATATCATTTTATAATGAAGCTAAATGTTTTTATTAATTAAATGTTTCAGCTTTGGTCATAATTCTGTACCTTTTGCTTAGGTGAAGAGCTAACGAAATCAAAGCTTTCTGCTCCGACTAATGAGTGAGTTCAACTTCTAAAATTATATCAAATGCAGTTTGGGGGGAATTATTTTAATCCAAGACTCAGAAACTCAAATATCAGAAGACTGGGTTGGGTACTTATTGGGTAGTTGTGTATCTATTGCCTTGTAAGAGTTAATGAGTAATTATATAACAATGGAGAATTCTATTCTTCAACCTTTTTTTTCCTGTGTACTCATTTTCCCCTTCTTATGTAATTCCTTCATTGTCATCTATCTCAATTGATATTCATAATTACATGATTACTAAATATCGGTTTAATTTTAAAATCTGAGCTTTTAAATAAAAAAGATATAGTTTCTATCAACAATTGTATAGTGTTTCTTAAGATAACAAGCCCGAAATTTGGACAGGTCTGTGTACAGGTTTATAAATATATATGCTAGAACAAATCCATTTGAATAATATGTTTTGTTGATATGAAAAGAGACATTATGAAGTATGTCTAGAAATGAACTTACACCAAGGTAATAGAAGGTATAAATTCAGATAGTTTATTTATGTGTAAATCAGTTCCTTGACCTGCAATGTGAGTAGTTTTTATTTTTAGATACAAAAGCTAACTAACACAGAAGATGAATTACCAAAGTTATAATTTGCTTATTGTGAAGATGTATGTCTTCCATTTATATTCCAATTGCAACTCTTACTATAGAAAGGGGAACAGTGACCTACTGGCATGGGATCCACTCTTTAGCAGTTCTCTTGAGTCTTCTTCTTCAGCCTCCTTGGCGTCCTCATCCTCCTCAGGTAAAATATTTGATAGCAGAAAATGTATTCTGCATATTCTTTGGAACACTCTGTTGTTGCTTTTTTAGCCATTGCAAGGGGATGTGCTTTGATTAGGAGGGTTGAGAGTTAAAATGGAGCTTCTCTTGGCAACTGTGAGATGAGATGAGCATACACCGTGAACAGGGATGGATGTGTTTCCTTTTCCCAGGAAAGCCAATTGAGCTATGAGCTGTCTAGTACAAAGCTGCCCTGGAGCAGCTGTTGTTTCCTGTAGGAGAACATGATTCTGTTGGGAAATGTGTGGGCAGAATCTAGGGAAGTGGGAGAAAACCTGAAATTAATGGAAAGTTTCTGGCTTGGGGGGGGGGGTATACAAGAATGGGTTGGG